GGCCCGAGAGAGGGTGATATCGTTGGGCTCCCAGGGGCCGGGGAGAAGGCAACTGCTCGGCCTCTGGGTCCCCTGTGGGCACCTGGGGGAAACTGAAACCAACCTCCCAAGACATGGGCATAAGTGGGTCTCCACCTGCCGCCGCATCCTGGGCCCCACAAGTGTTAGGGGTGACCCTGGATCTGAGGATCCCCAAGACACAGCCGAGAACACTGGAGCTGAGAGAAAACTGAGGCCGCGAGCCTGAATCTGCACTCACGAAGCCAGCTGAGGACCACACCCTGGCCCAATGGACCCCGCGAGGGCTGCCCTGCAGGCTGGCTCAGGGTGTGCCGGCCTCTGCGCTGGGCTCCCGGGCAGGGCACAGGCCAACAGGGCAATGGCAGGCAGGCTTCTACAGGCCATGCCAGGTGGAAGACAGAGCAGCTGGGGAGTGCAAGTGGGCGCTCCTGGGGGTGTGCTGGGCATAATGCGGGAGGGGGTCCTAGGCTTTGGTCTTCTTCCTCTTGGGGGGTTGCGTCCCTGGAAAGTGTGGGGATGGGCATCTCACCTGGGAGGGCTTGGAATTCCTACCGGATGCCAACACTGTGTGATGCTGTGTGCCAGGCAGGTGCTAAGTGATCCACCTAAATCAAACCATTCACTCCTTGCTGAGGTCGGAATGTTTGTGTCCCCCAAATTCATCTGTTGGAATCCTAAGCCCCACTGTTCTGGTGTTAGGAGGTGGGGCCTTGGGGAGGTGATGAGGGTGGAGCCCCATGAATGGGGTTAGTGCCCTTATAAAAGGGACCCCACAGAGCTCCCTGCGCCTCCCTCCACGTGAGGACACAGTGAGAAGGCGGCCCTGAACCAGGGCGTGGACCCTCGCCAAGACCCTGACCACGCAGACTTCCGGGCTCACAGCTGTTGTTTATAAGCCACTCCACCTGTGACATTGCGTTTGGTGAACAGAACGGACTGAGGCCGCCCTAGAGCAGGAGTCAAGGACGGAGGATCACCCCAGACCCCTGTTCTGCCCGCCTCCTTGCTGCAAGGGAGGCTGGGGGACGCGCTGGTTTGGGCTGGTTTGCTGCCCTCGGGGTCCCCACCCTGCGCTGCCTGTTTGCACTCTTGCTGGGTCTCTGTTGAGGGTGCTGTTATGATACTGTTCATTTGGTTCGTAATGAGAATCCATGTTTTCTTCATAATTGACCTAATACTTTAATCACAGCTGGGTGCAGCTTGGTGGGCAGAGGCAGGTGTGTGTATGTAGGTGGGGGGTCACCCTGCCCCTGAGAAGGCAAAGCCCCCAACCCCTGGCCCCTCACCCCAGTGCCAGGTGCCCCCCCACCCTCTTTTGCAGGACCCAGAACTGTCTTTGGGGAGCAAAAAGGGGTTGGACCACCGAGTTGACCCCAGCCCCACAGAGAGAGCAACGCTTGGAGGGGCACTGTCACATCGCCACCCTTCCAGAACTCACTCTGGCCAAAGAAAAGAGGAGGTGGTGGGTGGGGCCTGTCCCTGGCTCCGCCCTTCCACCCGAGGCCCCGGCCCCACTAGCTGGATGCTGGCCTGGGGGCAGGGAGAGTTGCACCAAGGATAGCGACCCCAGCCTCTGCCCCAGCATGTGCGGCCGCCAAGACGACTACATAACCAGTTCTCGACTTAGCGTGGCCCCTTGGGCGACCCTGTCCCTCTGTTCTCCAGAGAGCACCTTCCTGGGGACACAGTGTCACTGGGCTGCATCTGCTTCCTGGGTGCCTGGGTCCCCGGTCTCTGCCTGCCCCCTGCTTCTTCCTGGCCCCTGCACTGGTCACCCTCCTGAAAGCCCCCGCTCTTCCGCCTTAGCCAAGCCTCTCCCAGAGTGTCCCAGAGCACTCCTGCGTTACCCCCTCATCACGATCCCAGTCCCCCCTTGAGGTCCTAGACCCTTCATCGTGGTCTTATCACGTCCCAGTCAGCATCCCCCATTGCCGCCTGGGCTTGGCCACCCCTCAGAGCAGCCCCCTGTCTTGACCCCACCCTCTCGTCCCCAACGTGCAGCACGGGAGGTGGCAGTGTACAGTGGGGCCCCCTCACTCCTCTGATGCAAACCCTCCCATGGCGCCCCCACTACCTCAGAGCCCTGACCAGGCCCTGCGCCCCCCTGCAAGGCCTCTGTGGTCCGGCCTGGCCACTTCCAGCCTCTCTCCCCACCACTCCATATAAGGCCCCAGGGACACAGCCCCGGGAGGCTCCTGGCGTGCATGTTTCAGCCACCAGCACCTAGACCTGGACATGGCAGGTTTTGAGAAATACTTGTGAAAATAAATAAAAGAAAAGTCTCATCCAAATAGAGTCTGGAAGTCTTGCAGGGAGAGCTCTCCCACACACACCACCTGCAGCAGCTTACTTTGCAAACTGGGGCAGGAAGGCGCTTTCTTTACTACCCCGCAGGAGGAAGGAAGATTTTTTTTCCTTGCCTAGCAACAGCCCAGCCAATGACAAACCACCACACTCAGCCAATGAGAAGCCACCTTACCCTGAGCTCCTGCTCTCTTCCAATGGACTTTTGCCCATCACCGCCCTTCCCAGCTTTCTCTATCTTTTCTTCTCCGGACCTGCCTGTGGTTCGCCATAGTGTGCATGTCCCAAACTGCAATTCCTCTGCTATTCCCAAATAAATATTTTGCTGGTAAAACAATGGGATATTTTATGTTTAAGGTTGACAGTAAGTCAACACTGTGTTGTGCCTAAACTTGGAAAGTGGCGCTCGGGGCAGTTCAAGAGACTCTGGAAAGTTCCCTGTCCTGGATGGCAGCCCCTTCTTCGCTGTGTGGATCTGGTCTGGCTGCCCCTCAGCCTGGCAGCCTGCTGTGCCCAGCGTTGCCTCCAGGTTGGGAAGGCCTGGGTCTCTGGCACCCGGTTCCCCAAAGGGATCAGTCCTGGAAGGTGACTCCAGCGGCTGCTTCTTGGGGAAGTTGCCCTGAGAGGGAGCTGACTCAGCATGAGGACGCAACAGGCTGAACCCAAGGCCCCATCTCTCCCTGGGCCTCTGCAAGGAAGGTTCCCACGGACCAGCCACGCGTATCTTCCTGGAGTCAGACGTAGGCTTCCTTGGCTGGAGGCGGAGGGTGGTGCCAGCTGGGGAGGGTGGTTGGACCACACCAGCAACCTCACAGCTGATGATCGCCTCCTGGACCCAGGACCGTGTTCAGCACTGCCCTGAGCACACCTGGACAGGCGGAGGTGGACAGTGTGGCCGCTTGCAGCTCAGGACTCTCTTCTAAGGCCCGCCTCGTCACAGTGAGAGAGGGGTGCCCTCTTCCAGGACCAGGCAGGAGGGAACCTCACTTCTGTGTGTGGCCGGGGAGATGCGGAGCTGGGGTCTCACCCCCCACTGTCAGCCAGCTGCCACCCTGGCCAGCACGCAGCCCAATGAAGATGGGAGGCAGGGGCTGTGACCACGCTCTCGGCACCCTGAGGAGCTCCGCACTTGGGCCGAGGGCAGGACAGTTTTTGATCTCCTCAGCACTGGCGCAGTGGCCACGGGCACAGATGCCGCCTTCAGCCCAGGAGCCGCTGACTGGCCATCTGCAGTGCCCGAGCGCCTCGGCCCAGAGCTGGGTGCTCAGGTGCCAGAGGTACACACCGCCGCGCTGGACAGCTGGGGTGGGGGCCGGAGAGCTACAGCGAGGCCAGGGCAGCTGGGTGAGCCTCGCCTCCTGGCCGCGGAAGGCCAGAGCAGGCCACTGGTGGAGCACCTACACACACACAGCGGCTCTGACCAGCAGGTCATGCTGACCACCGTGCGGCTTTGGCTCAGGGCCGAGGAGTACATCTGCCTGAGGTTGAGACTGGTGGCTCTGCAGGAAAGCAGGTCTGGCTGGGGACACTGCCCGAGGCCTGTGTGCCCCCATTCCGCCCTAACAAATCTCTCTATGCAGCTGGGGAGGCCGAGGAGGACCCCCAACTGCCCTGCGAGGCAGTCTGGTGTGCAGATACTGTGGTCAGGTCATGGGGGTGCGGGGGGCAGGAGAGCGGGGAGAAGGGGAGCACACGGGGGCTGGAGAAGGGGGCGGGGACCTGGGCCCGATCCTTCCTCCTGTCACCTGGTCACCTAACGCTGTCAGGACCACTCTCCTCTGCTTCCCCAGCCCCAGGTTGGGGGCTCTAGGTCCCCCATGAGCCCCTCAGGTCTGTGCCTTGCCAGGGCTTCTCAGAGGAGGTGTTTGTGCTGATCCTGTAATTCCACTGCAAGCCAGGCCCTCTGGCCCGGGGGGGGGGGGGCACACCCAGAGATCCGCAAGGTGACAAGGACAGGCAGGGTCCCAGGGCTGCCTCTCAGCCCATCGTCATCTCTTCACCTGAGAGGTAATGAGTGTGAGGTCCACGGTCGGACCAGCCTGAGCCTGCAGAGGGGGATCTGAGAGGGACTGTGAAGCGTGGGGGAGTCGGAGACTGTGGGTGGGTGGTGCTGGGGGGGTGGAGTGAGGAGGAGAGGAGGCCTGGGCAGCACCTCCAAAGGGAAGGAAGGGGACCTCTTTGATGCTCTTCAAGAACCCAAGTTAAACATGTTTTAAAGGATTTTCTTTAAACTCATTAAGTAGCTGTTTCTCTTTAAATATGACACAGCTTGGAGACAGGCGCCCTGAAGCCCTGGGAACTGTTTGGGTTGCGTTGCAATGGTGTGGAAGGCTTGCACGAGAGACCCTGGAACTTCTGATAGATTTTGGAGTATAATTAATCTACAGGTGAGGGAAAAAAAAAGTCTTGTTTTTCTCTAACAGCTGCCCCAGTCCGCGCAGGGGGTGTGCCTGATGCTCAGAGGGCCTGCCTTTTTTATCATCTTAGTGGGTGGGGGACAGAGGTTGGAGGTCAGCCTAGTATAAATTGGGGTCACTGCACCATTGAGGTTGAAAGCTGGGGTTGGGGTGGTGGAGCTCACACACTGACAAGGGAAGGAACACCTGAGAGATTGGCTGTGCCTAACGCAGAACTTTGAGAAAGAAGACCCGTGTGGCTTTAATTTTTGGGTTGGATTCAGCTTGCAGAGGGAAAACGCCTGTCCCCCAGACCCGTAAATCCTCAGAGACAGCACCCGAGTCATGCTGTGCTCAGTGAGGCTGTTTCTTGTGGATGTGGTGGAGGAGAGGAGACAGCAGCCCTGGGGGGGGCCGGGACCCCCCAGACAGTGGGCAGCGTGCTGCAGGACTGGACATGGGCCCCCTTCTGTGCCGCTCCCTGGAAAGGCCGGGGCCTGGCGAGGATGGCCCCCACCTCCTCCTGAAACTCTGTGGCCACGAAATAGTAGCAGATGGCGTCCAGGCAGCAGTTGGCGTTGGCAATTCGGGAGGTGACCTGCACGAAGGTGGCCACCTTCTGGACGGTGGGGCAGGCGGCACCTGTCCACTGCGCCACGAGCTTGGCCAGCAAGGCCATGTGCAGCGGGAGGAAGCAGAGCACGAAGGTGGCCAGGTTGGCTGCCACCACGCAGAGGGCCTTGAGGACCGGGGCAGCGGCCTGGGGCGGCGCCCGAGTCCACTGCTGGAGGAGACACCAGAGCACCTGGGCCGAGCAGAAGCTCAGGATGAGCAGGGAGAACAGGAAGAGCAGCAGGGAGAAGGCCAGCGCCCGGGGGCCCCGCGTGTGGACCTGCCCGAAGCAGAAGCTCTCCCCTGGGCGCAGCCAGGCCGCTGGCAGGGCCACAGCCCCGATGACCAGCAGCCAGAGGGCCACGCAGGTGAGGGCGGCCTGGCGGGGGCCGCGCCAGGCCCGGGCCCGCAAGGGGAAGCGCAGGGCGGCGTAGCGGTCAGCGGCGATGGCCGTGAGCAGCCACATGCTCATGTAGGTGTTGACATAGTAGAAACTCTGCAGGACCCTGCACAGGGCGCCCTCCGGGGCCCTCGACGCCGACGCCGGGCCCAGCGTGTGCAGCACCCCCGGCAAGCTCAGCAGCAGCAGCCCGTCGGCCGCCACCAGGTTGACCATGTACACGCGGGTCTCCGTCCAACTGCGCAGGCGGCAGCAGAAGACCCAGAGCGCCAGGCCGTTGAGCAGCAGGCCCAGCGCCAGGATGAGGCCGATGGAGACACTGGTCGCCACCTGTGGCAGGACGCCCCTCTCCATGCTGCAGCCATGGGAGCTGTTGGCAGGGGCGGCGGTCGCAGACATGGCCGACAGCCTGAGAGGGGTGGGAGGGTAGGGGGGCTTCAGCAGGCTCAAGGCAGAGGGTGCGTGGCCAGGCCGGCCTGCTTCTCCTGGGGGCGGAGAGGGAAGCACTCAGCCTCTTCCCCACTCCGTACCGCCCCCTCCATCTCTCTCTCCCTCTCCCCCACTTCCTGGGCCAGTCCCGGGTTCCTGCACAACCTGGGGCAGGTTCCCCCTCCCCTAATCACAGCGGCTCCACAAGGCCTCCTCTAGACTGTGGACTGGCCACTCCCCTGCCCTGCCCAGCCGGCCTGGTGCCCAGGCAGGGGGTTCTGTGGGGACCCCTCTTTGAGCCTCTTGACCCAAGGCTTCAGCTCAGCCCAGAACCTTTGTCAACCTGGGCCTTTGCTCAGTTACCTGTCCCCTTGGCCCATGTGGCCCTGTCCAAGGGCCACCCTCCCGTGGTCCCAGGGGTGGGGCCTCCAGACTCTCCTGGCAGGCAGAGCTGGCCCGTTGTCCTTCCTCAAAAACTCAGGACCCACACCCACACCTGCTTGGTCTCAGAGCTCAGGACCAGCTGCTCACACGCAGGCGTGGCCTCAGCGTGGGACTGACTGACGAGGACAGATGAGGGCCAGCTGGACCCCCTGCTCCTGGGAGGCCTCTGTGGCAGCCAGCAGGGTGAAGGGACAGGCCTTGGGGAGGGGAGCCTGGCTCAGGGAGGACTCACCAATCTGGGACACGCAGGGCCTTGGGGACTGGAGCTGGGGCCCCTCTGCACACAGCCAGGCTGCTTGAGCTGGGCCTGTCCCCAAGGCTGTGGTCACCACTTTTGTGCTCTCCTGAGTGGGTGGGGTCACACCTCTGGCAGGCAGGCGGCCCCTCTTGGCTCTCCCCTCCTCTCCTACGTGTGTGCAGGCTGCCCCAGCCTGCGCTGCATGACACCTGCCTGCCCTCCCTTCCTGACCACAGCTTTGTGGCAGCCTGGAGCTCAGGGCCAGATGGAGACCTGGGGATCTCCAGACTGCAGAGCCTCAGCCTCTCACGTGGGGGTGAGGGAGGGCCGGAACCGCTCCCGGCAGGCCTGAGTTGGCTGGGTGCTGCCCACCCCCACCCCGGGAGCCTGTGATGGGCACCGGCTCGAGAACTCCGTAAGGAAGGCCCCGAGGTGCAGGGCTGGCACCAAGTCACCCACACTCCAGAAGCTTGGGGTCCCTTGGCTAGCGTCCCCCACCCCACGGCCTTGAGCCTTGGAAGGTCTCCAGGGAGAGCTAGCTGCCCAGCAGTTGCAGCTCGGGGTTCAGACACCTGGGCTGTCAGGATGGAAGGTGTAGTGGACGGTGCAGCACGCTGCCCAGGGACACCCCCAAGACACAGGAGCACACTGCCTGCCGGCACCAGGGCCCGAGGGCCCTCTCCGACTGCTTTCAGTAAGCGGCTCATCAGAAGCTGAGCCTGCAATGGCCGGCCCGGTGTGGTCAGCTCAGGTGACCCAGCTCCAGAGTGCCCCCGGGGTCATGGGAACCACCCTCTGCCCACCCCGTTTCACTCGCCCCCTTTCGGGTGTAGCTCCCAAGAGTACACCCAAGACAGCCCTGCTTGCAAACCTCCATCTCAAAGGGGCTCCTGGAGCCCCCATGCAGGGGTGTCTTCCTGCTGAGCACAAGGGTGGCTCACTGTCACCATAACGGACACAGCCCCAGGGCCACACTGGGGCAGCCGTGAACGACAGCAGGGCCGACCTTCAGAACCTGGGAGTCAGAGACAAGGACGGAGGTCGGTCCGCTCAGGACCACCTGGAGGGGAGCAGGGTGAGCCGGAGCGCCTCCTCCAGGAATTTCTGTGCTAGGGGCATGGCCACCTGACCGTGGTGTCCAGCAGGTGCCCTGCGGCGGGGCAGGGGGTGCCGCGAGGAACAGCCTGTCTGCACAGACTCATGGACAGGAGCTGAGCGGTGCTGAGGGTGGGCACCATAGACAGCCAGGCTCTGAGACTGGGGCAGTGGTGCCCCTCCTGTGAGAGGTGCGTGCTCCCCACACTGGCTAGCCTGCCCCAGCCCGCCGGAGAGGTTCTCTAAGCGGTTACTGCCATTTCTGCACTCTTCTGCATTCTCTCGGGGGGCAGGGGCTGGAGGGCACCCTTGCTGCCAGGGGACAGGAGACAGCCTAGACTGCCTGCATGAGATGCAGAGGCTGGTGTATCATCCCTTTGGAGATGTGGACAGCAGCTTCCTGAAATTGGCTGGACCCTGCTTTCCACCACCCCCTTCCTGGGAGGAGGGGCAGCCTCCCAGGTGGGCCTTGCAGCTGAGGGGGCTGACCTGAGGCTGGGCACACCCCTCCCCGCAGCCTGCAACACCTCCCTTCTGCACCACCTGACTGACGCTCCTTTCGCATAGGAGACCGACCGGGCTCATGTGCTCAGGACAAGTCCTGCTGAGAGCCCACGGACAGTGGGGGCCCCAGGCGCACAGAAGACCAGGAGCAGCCCCTCACATTAGCACTAGTGGCCAGCCCACACGGCAGCCCCTCCCCCTCAGGCCACCTGCAACCAGACTTAACCCCCAGAACAGCCTTCATGAAGCCAACTGCCCCAAAGGAAAGTCTCACAGGCACTGGGCACCACTGGCCAGACAGACAGCAGACATTAGGAATAGGACCACCTGGGGCCTCCTAGCAGCAGTTCAGTCTGCAGGAAAATTCTGGGCCACTCAGATTCTGCATCAAACCCAGCTCTCCCATCAGAAGCAGCTTGGCTCTGGGCAGTTCTCTGCGTCTACACTATGCAGCCACCTAAACCTGTCTGCTCCTAGGGGATTGCAGATGGCCACCACTTCCTGGGAGAGCCCCCGCCTTCAGCTGACCACCCACACTTCCCCTGGCTGTTTCCAAGTGGTCTGGGTTGCCAAGCCCTCACCAGCCTACCCTCTCCAGACCCCCCACCAGGGCTCCGTGCTGAACAGTGCCTCTAGCCAGATAACACACCCCAGGTGTGAGCCCAGCAGAGGGGGCATGGGCGTGTGTCCTCCCACATTCTGAGCCCTGTACTCCTGTTGATGCAACCTCAAAATGGATTGGCTTTTCTTTCAGATGCCTGTTCAT